TTATTAATTGATTTAATTATTTATTTTTGAATAAGTATTTTAAATTTTTTTCAATTTAATGAAAAGTTAAAATATTAATTTTCTTTAAAACAAAAAAGAACAACGTCAAAAATTGAAAAAGCTTTTTTTAGCTAAAAATAATTTCAAAAACAAATTTGAGAAAAACTTGAAATATCAATTTTTCTTAAACAAACAAATAATATTTTGAAAAAATGTTTTGAGAAAAAGATGAAATATCAAATTTTCTTAAATAAAAAAATTTCAAAATTTATTTTGAGGAAAAATTGAAGTATCAATTTTTATTAAACAAAAAAACTTCAAAAAATATTTTGAGGAAAAGTTGAAGTATCAATTTTTTTAAACAAAAAAATTTCAAAAAATGTTTTAAGGAAAAGTTGAAATATCAATTTTTCTTAAATAAAAATTTTCAAAAAAAACATGTTTTCAGGAGAAGTTGAAGTATTAATTTTCCTTAAATAAAAAAATATTTCAAAAAATATTTTAAGAAAAAGTTGAAGTATCAATTTTTCTTAAAAAAAAAAATTTCAAAAAATGCTTGAGAAAAAGTTGAAATATCAATTTTCTTAAATAAAAAAATATTTTAAAAAAAATGTTTGAGAAAAGTTGAAGTGTTAAGTTTCCTAAAATAAAAAATATTTCCAAAATATTTGAGAAAAAAGTTGAGAGTATCAATTTTTTCTTAAATAAAATATTAATTTTTTTCTAAAATAAAATAAGAAAGAAAATTTTAGGAAAAAGTTGAAGTATCAATTTTTTTTTAGAATTTAATTTTTTAAAAAATAAATGTTAAATGATCCAACGACGAAGATTTTACAAAAAAATAGTAATTTTCTTGTATATTCTTGAGGTAAGGAATTATATTAATTTTTTGCTAAAATATTAGAGTCAATTAAGAATAATTCTCAATAATAAATTAAATGGTAAATTTTTTTAAAGCTTAATAGATAACACGAAAAAACTGTTACCATCTTTAGATGGGCGTTATGAGTGTGCTATAACCTTTCTTATACATAGTTATACTTTTAGACTTTGCTTGTTTTTGTAAGCTAGAATTTATTTTTTAAAGATACCCGAGTCAAGTTTGAGATTTCTTTTTAAAATGGGACAAATTCAGTTAAGTGGCCAATCACACTTAAACAAAAAAGATTAATGGCGACTCATAAGTCATGTCTAGCAACAGGTCTATGAATTTGTATGTTATGACAGTTTGGGACTTCACTACGGATAAGTCAAGAATCAGGCTAGCAAATAAATTTGTGTTATCTAAAAGCCTAATAAAATTGAATTTTTTTAAAGATTTTTATTTATTCACTTCTTTTATTTATTTTGCTTATAATGTTATTCATATGCATGTGCATTACATAAGCTTTATACCCGAGCTACATCCCTTAATAAGGGAGTAAGTTATGCTTTTATGAGGTTTTAATGCCTCCGTATTGGCTCCGTATTGGCTAGTGAAAGACTTTAACTCAAATTAAACTCTTTTCATTTATAGCTTGTAATGTGTGAGAATTGTGGTACTTTACTAGTTTGTAATAGACAATGATATAAGAAATAATTTGGTAACCTTTAGATTTTTAACCTTAAACCACATATATTGAACCTTAGAAAGACTTAACCTATATGTGAGCCATATACTTTCCTTTTGAATTGACTAGAAGTTTAAGGTTCATTCTTTTATTATGTACGACGCTTAAATTTATTTATTTATTTATTTCTTATTCAGTGTACCAACTAATCTTATGTTTTGTTTGTTAAATTTTGCATGATTCATACTCATATCATTAAGTTGCATGAGGAATATTTGCCTAAAAAGATAGTTTTCAACAAAGAGTTTTTCATGAAGTCCACATAATGACTAGTTTGCTCTTCATCTGTCTTAGCTCCCTACTAGTCACCAAATGAAGTAAAGGTTTAGTCAAAAAATATCCAGTAACAAGAAGGGGATTGTTTACTAGTTGATCATGCTTCTACCTTATCTAAAGAGATATCTCTCCTCCTTAAACAAAATAATCTAGAAGACTTAGTTGATGTGTGAAAGAAGATGAGCCTATTAAGATAAGAAGATTTTTGCTAGAGATATGGACAAATAGCACACGTTCTTATGGCGAATGTTAAGAATCAATTAATCAAAGTCGTAGTTTAATTTTGGGATCTTTTATACAAGTGTTTCATCTTTAATGAAGTTAATATGATACCAATCATTGAAGAATATTCGATTTTGTTAGGTCTGCACCTCAAGGCTCTAAACAAAATATATGTCAAGAACACAAGTTAAATTTCATAAAAATTTGGCGAGTCTCTGGATATAAACTAAGAGATTGTAGATTCACAAACAAAAAGAAAGCAAGGGTAGATCTACTTACCTTGAAAGTTCTTTCATGATTTTCTTGTGCAACGGTCCAATAATGAGCAAGGGTTAGATGTGTTTTGCTTAGCCATATATGAAATGGTGATTTTTCCAAAGATTTTAGGTTACATTAAGATAGCAGTGATTAACTTCTTCAAAGGTGTGGTAAATAGCTGCAAACCTTCACTGATAATATTGGTAGAGACTGTTAGATTGTTGAGTTATTGTCACCAGAATGGAGGCTGTTTCATAGGTTTTGCACTACTATTATATTTATGGATGAAAAGTCATTTTGTGTGTAAGAAATGTGCATTCTTGAAGCTTTACTTCCATAATCGAGCTACAATTAAAAAATTTTGTTAAAGTAAGTGGCCAGAACAAAAGTCTAAGAAAAGGCTGATGACTTTCTTCCAAAGGCTTATGACAATCGATGTAAAATGGTTAGTCTCATGGATGAATCGGGAGCCGATGTTATAATAGTGTAGAGAGGATATTACAATTCCATTTTTGGGCATATGAAGAGCAATAAGTTATACACCATTCTTACTGAGAAGACAGTTGAGGGCAGAGTAGTTTGACATAAATTTTGTTAGTTAAATTTTTCTTATAGTGAGCCAAAGGCATTTCAGAAGATGAATGATGTGATTAAAGCATGGAAAAGTCCTCAAATGGTGAGTCTTGGATCTTTCATTGATAAGGCCACTCATGGGTACTTAGTTTTGAAAGCAAGATGAGAAAAAGAAGTTGTATTCACTCTTGAAGACTTTCAACAACCAATAGGTGAAAAGCTTGAAGAAATACCATTAGAATTAGAGCTTACGAAAAGGGAGTTTGAGGTAAAAAAAAGATAAGCTAAAGCAAGAGATCTATAAGCTTAAAAAAGAGAAGAATCAATGAAAGGATAGAGCTGAAAAACAAGAAGTCAAAGTTTGCAAAACAAAAAAGAATAACTTCAAAAATTGAAAAAGTTTTTTTTAGGTAAAAATAATTTCAAAAAATTTTTGAGAAAAAGTTGAAGTATTAATTTTTTTAAAACAAATAATATTTCAAAAAATATTTTGAGGAAAAGTTGAAGTATTAATTTTTTTAAATAAAAAAATTCAAAAAATGTTTTGAGAAAAAGTTGAAGTATCAATTTTCTTTAAATACAAAATATTTCAAAAAATTATAAGAAAAAGTAAAAGTATAAATTTTCTTTAAATAAAAAAAATTTCAAAAAAAATATTTGAAGAAAAGTTGACTTATCAATTTTCCCAAAATAAAGAATATTTCAAAAATATTTAAGGAAAAAGTCAAAATAATCAATTTTTCTTAAATAAAGCATTATTTTTTTCTAAAATAAAATAATAAAGGAATTTTTAAGAAAATTTTGAAATACCAAAATTTTCTTGAAATTTAATTTTTTAAAAAATAAATATTAAATAATCCGATGACATAATCTTTGCAAGAGAAAAAGTAGTTTCCTTATATACTCTTGAAATGAGAGAATTTTATTAATTTTCTGTCAAAATATTGTAGTTAATTAAGAACAATTCTTAATAATTAATTATATAGTAAAATTTTTTAAGGCTTAATGAATAACACGAAAGAATTGATATTATACTTTGATGAGCGTTATGAGGATGCTATAACCTTTTTCATACGTAACCATATTTTTGGATCTGACTTGATTTCGTAAACTAAAATCTACGTTTTAAAAATATCTGAGTCAAACTTGATAATTTTTTAAAAAAATAAGATAAATTTAGTCAAGTGACTAATAACATCTAAACAAAAAAAAATTGATAATGATTTTTAAGTTATATCAAATAATAAGTCCATAGATTTGTACTTTATGACACTTTGTACTTAGTAGTTAACATCTCGTTAAACAAATAATATCTTTGTGTTGTATGTTTTAACTTAAAATTTTTGTATTCATATATAAAACTTAATTTTTTTATATATCCTTTTTTGAATTACTGGATTAATAATTTAAATGAGTAAATTGTTAATTAATTATTAATTATAATGAGTAAATATTTTTCTAAATGGTTGTTTATAAAACTAGGCTCTTACACCCTTAAACTAGGTCACATCATTTTTTTTTTGAATTTTTTTTATACCTTTAAAATAAATTACTTCACACTCGCTAGCTTTTTCTCCTGTATCTAAAATTTGCCATTCTTTTTTACAGTTTAGTATATTCAAACTGTAATTGAAAAGCTTAATATTATATTTACTAATTTTAAATAAAACAAATAATATGATAAAAAAAACAATATGAAAAAAATATGAAATAGAAATAATTTAAAATTTTAATAAAAATTATATATAAATTTAACAAAAACAAAAAATATATATTTTATGTTAGATGTATCAATACGAATCATGATATAATTTTTATATTTTATAAATATTTAACATAAAATATACAAATATGTAAGGGATTAAGTGTGATAAACTTTATTTTAAAAATTAAAAAATAAGATGTAGGGATATGTGATTAGAGAGTATAAATATGTAATTTTATTGACATTACGTCTTCATAGAATTTTAACTCTAAAAAATTCACAATTACTGAAGGTTTTTTTTTACCATTGTATCTGAAGTCTTTTGACATCATTTCGCACCATGAAAAAAAATACTATTGAAATTCAACAAATAATCTCTATTAAGTTAGCAAACTCATTAATGACTTTAACGGAAATGGTGGGTTTGCATTTGGTATCAACCTTTAAGCAGAAACCACAAAAGAATGGCAAAGCGAGGAACCCTCCAAATGTCATATTTACATTCTCTTCGGGACCAATTGCCTTATAAATTGGTGCGCTTTCAGGTCCCAAAACTCAACCACAAACTTAAACAACATTCAAAAATGACAGGAAAAAGAATCGTAAACATTGAAGTTCGTGCAGCAATCTGCACCATTATTCTCCTTGCCCCAGTTGTTCTCTCGCAGAATTCACCACAGATACCAGCTGATAAATCCCAAGTGAATGCTTGGTTTAACGCCAACATCAAGCCTGCCTCAGCGAGGGCTGGCACCCTAGACCCAGCCCTTGTTCAAGCTGAGGCTGAACCTCATGTCATAAAGGTGAGAAAAGATGGCAGTGGAGATTTCGACACCATAACCAAAGCCATTGCGAGCGTTCCATCTGGGAACACCAAACGTGTGATTATATCTATTGGAGCTGGATCTTATCGCGAGAAAATCACAATTGTGCGAACTAAGCCATTCATTACATTTTACGGGGATCCCAAAAACATGCCAAATTTGACATTTGACGGTACGGCAAGGCAGTATGGAACCTTAGACAGCGCCACACTTATTGTCGAGTCTGATTACTTTGTGGCTGCAAATATCGTTATAGTGGTAAACGTTAAACATCTCTTATTGCATATATGGTTTATTTTCTATCTTGTGATGAAGTTTTCTTAATTTATTATATATATATATATATATATATATATTTGTTGGCATATAGAATACTGCTCCGAGGCCAGATGGGAAAATGGTGGGAGCACAAGCGGTTTCCCTGAGAATCTCCGGGGACAAGGCGGCTTTCTATAACTGCAAGCTCATTGGTTTCCAGGATACTTTGTGTGATGACAGGGGCAACCATTTTTTCAAGGATTGTCACATTCGAGGCACTGTTGATTTCATTTTTGGAAGCGGAAAATCTTTGTATCTGGTATGGAAGATCAACACATGCAAATTTTACCTGCTAATATGAAATATGATACCATATTTTGACAGGAAAGTTTTGGATGAAAACTTGGATGCAGGGCACGGAATTATACGTGGAGGGGGATACGGGACTTACAGTAATTACAGCACAAGCGAGGGAAAGTGCATCGGAGAACACTGGTTATTCCTTTGTACATTGCAGCGTTACTGGAACAGGAAACGGCACATATCTGGGCAGGGCCTGGAAGACCAGTCCTAAAGTCGTGTTTGCCTATACTGACATGAGCAGTGTCGTCCATCCTGCTGGATGGTCTTTTAATTTTAAACCAGAGCGAGCCAAGTAATCTAAATTAATCTTCATAATTTTCAAATCCTGTATATTTTTGGTACACTAAGATAAGCTAAGAATTGTTATTTTGGCTTATTTTTCAGAACTGTTTTCTATGGAGAATTCAAGTGCACGGGACAAGGTGCAGCTCCCGGTGGGCGAGCGCCATTCACCAAGCAGCTAACTGAGGCAGAAGCCAAACCTTTCCTGGTTCTTGATTATGTTGGTGGCACCAAATGGTTGCTTCCTCCTCCGAAGCTCTAAATATCAATTGCCTGTTAATCAGGGATTTAAATTACAATAGTGGTCACATTTTTTGTTATATTATGTTAATCGCTTTTTCATATATAATGGAATCATTATTGTCATTGTAATTATCATTATTGTGAATTTTATTTAATTTTACATAATTTATTATAAAATATAATAATTATAATTATAGTTATAATCTAAAAACTCTTATTTTATGATTTTTAAAATAATTTATAACACTTTATGTTTTCTGTTTTCTTAAAAAAAAATTATTCATAATTTTATTTAGATTATAATAAAGCATTCATATTCGGTTTAGTAGAAAATCTTTATTTGAGCCAAGTCCATATTTAATATTAACTCTAAACAAATCAAATATTAACAAAATATAATATGTTAAGTGCCAAGCATCTATATTTAATAATATTACAAACTTAAAAATATAATGATTTTAAATTCCATCAACTACAATTGTTGAGATATACTTCAAAATTTACCACATGGTAGAATGATGAGGATGATCAAATTCTCTATCTTCCCTTTAAGAGTCAAGTGTGGCCTTTGTTCTTTATACATTTGAGATGGAGGATATATTAGAGAATGATACATTTGTGGTGGGGGATACATTTGTGGTAGATGATACATTAGAGATGGAAGATATATTTGTGGTGGATAATAACCATGTGGAAATGGATAACCATGAGGAGGTTAAAAATTAGGTGGTTCTGGGATAATAATGTTCTTGAATACTAGCAAATGATTCACTATACTCAAAGTTACTAGATTTGATCTCCTACTTGAAAATGAATAACCTCTAGAAATATCATAATGGTGCTTATTGGCTTTTTCTTTTGATCGAGTTGTATATGTGCTTTTATCCCCACTAAATTCAACAGATAGATTTATTTTGTATTCTGTCATGTTAATGGAGCTGTGGAGTGCCATTCACTAAGTAGCTAATTGAGGCAAAAGCCAAACCTTTCCTTGTTCTTGACTATATGGATGGCACCAAATGGTTGCTTCCTCCTTCTAAGCTCTAAAGCAATTGCCTATTAATCAAGAGCCATATAAATGGTCTAGTATATCTTATGAATTAATAGGACTATAACTTTGTTTCAAAAATCAATTAATAGTGCCTATGAATTGAATAATACATCATTATAATTCTTTTGTTCTATTCATTCTTTTTTCTATTTGTTTGTACCGAGCTCCAATGTGGGGTATTCCTGACAGGACAGAAAACTAAAAGAGATCTGTTAGATTTAAAGGTAGCTAGTGTTCCTTATATTTGCACTTTGATACACAAGATATAAGTCAAGATGAGAAAGGTCGAAATGAGAGAAAGATAAAGGATCAAGACAAAATGAAACCTAGGATGATAATGCCTGAATGCCTATATTTATAAATGAGAGGTAGTGGGCTAATGGGGGATAATAATGACGTGACCAAATTGATGTGGCACTGAGTGTGTTAGACCAATTTAACATGTTAGGTTGGCACAAATGTTCAAAATGCCCTTGGCTATCTGCCAAGGGCCTCTAATGTAGGAAAAATGCCATTATATATACCTTTTAGATGACTAAATACCCCTAACATTCTATCTTCCACCAAGTAGTCTGAATATCAAATTGTTGGGTGTGCAATTAGTTCATTTTGCATAGGTCAGCCAACTTAAAAAAGGTCATAAGAAATCTAATCTCTTATAGCCGAGATCGACATAGAGGTCAGCAATAAGAGACAATTCACCTTTTACTAGGGTTCGAGGTGATGCTATACGGGTTGACCTAGTGTGAGTCCAATCTTGCACGTGTGCTTTGGATTGAGTGCATGGTTGATTTCAAAGTTGTTGAAGTGTCATTTATCCAAAATGATCCGAGATTATGATGGGAGCTCATATGGTCGATGTAGGATTTAGGCTTTTTTTAGAAGTTTGAATTTGAGTCCTTGTTTTGAATTCTAGTGATGAATCGACCATCAATTTACTAAGCCAGTTTAACTTAGGGAGTCATTCAATCTGACTAAGTCTAGCAGTTAAGGTCGCATTAAAGAAGGAGAGAGATAGTTTAGGTGGCAAAATTCAAAGTGAGAAAGGTGAAAAGACATTTTCCAATGGTGTTATAACACATGGCATAATTTGGGCCATTTATCTTATCTAAGACTCGACTATGTAAAGGGCTATTGGGGCTATCATTTTCCACCTTTTTACTTTCTTGCTCTCTATCTGATCTAAAATTTTCAACCTCAAAAACTTTTCTTCTCTCTGACCTTATTATTCTTTTTCTTTCATCCGTTCTTTCTATTTTCCTCAATACATTCTCTCTTCATCATGTCTTCTAGTTTTACTTCTAAGAAGGTTGAGAGTTTCAAGATAGAGCTTGGGGGTCAACTCGGCAAGACAACAATGACTTAGTCCCACTAGCTATTGAAGGTCGGGGCTATCACAAGATGGCTTACTAGCTCAACCTTATGTCCAAGAAAATAAGGAGAGAGATAGTTTGGGTGGAAAAATTCAGAGTGAGGTAGGTAAAACGACATATTCCAACTATGCTCAGACACATAGCACAATTTGGGCCATTCATCTAATCTAATATGCGACTATATAAAGGGCTATTGGGGCCTTCATTTTTCACCTTTCTGCTTTCTTACTCTCTATCTAATCTAAAATTTTTAATGTCAAAAGCTTTTTTTCTTTTTGACCTTACCGTTCTTTTTCTTCCATCTGTCCTCTATGTTTTTCTCAGTACATTCTTGTAGACACCCCATTTTGTTTGAAAATATTTTTTTTAGAATTAGACTTTAACTGTAATTGAGAGATTTTTGGGATTTAATTCCAGAATCAATTGGCATTAAAAATTATGTGGAGAGATTATCAAGATTTAATTCCATAATCAATTCACATTAAAATGATAGGGAGAGATTTTTGGGATTTGATTTCAGAATCAATTCTCATTAAAAATAAAATCAAATAAAATCATAGATTTAAGGGGAATTGATTGAGCATGAATTCTTATATAAATCTGTGATCAAAGTAATGGGGGAACATTAAAAAAAAAGATTATGCAGAAACTATTAAAAGAAAATAGAGAAATTCATTTAGCAACTAAGAGGTTTTAGGTTCTGAGTTTGGTTTGTTTAGATTTTCTAGAATTGGGATTTGGTGTTTTTGGGTTTGAATTTCTGTAGGGTTTTGCATTCTAGGGATTTTTGAGTTTAGTTTTCTAGACAATTTGTTAGGTTTCTGAAAATTTTGTCGACTTTTGGGATTTACTCATCCATTTTTGGAAATCAATTATAGAGAACACAGATGAATAACCATTTTAGAAAGAGAGGCATACTCAAACACTTCTGAATAAAAGCCTAAAATTTGAGGCACTCAGATCTGTGTAACCGTGCATAACCCGACTGATTGCAAGTATTCTCTTTCCCTTTTCCATTCCATTTTCTGTTTTGATTTTATTTTTCTTATTTTATTTATTTATTTTTATTTACTCTTGCTATTTTTTATTTTAAATTGAAAAATATATTACTTATTATTATGATTTTTTTTCTTCGTACTTATTTATGAAAAAAATAAAAAAATCTTTTCAAATAAATTCATGAATCTCACTAAACTATTAGATAATTTTCATAAATTTAAAATTTATAGAATCCACCAAACCATTGAGCAATTTCATAACTAAATTTCAAAATGATAAAAAAATAATTTTTATCCTCCAAATTATTGGAGAATTGTTTCCTAAATTAAATCTCACCAAACTATTAGGAGATTTAATGAATTTTCTCACAAAAATAAAATTTTATAAATATTTTTCAAATAAAATCTCACCAAACTATTGAGAGATCTGCCTCAAAGTAAGTCCTACCAAAGTATTGAGAAACTTTACTAATTTTCTTGAATAAAATACTATAATAAATTCGACGATAGAGCCTTTTCAAGGTGGGACAATAGTCTTTATGAATACTCCTTAGGTGAGAGAATTATCTTAAATTGCTACCAACCTATTGGGACAATTTTAAGACTAATTTTCAATATTTAATATTTTGGTAAAAACATAAACATTTTAAGGCTTGGATAATCTAGAATCAAACTGGTACCATTTTTTGGATGGGTGTCGTGGGGGTGCTATAGCCTTTCCCAGGTGTAACTGTAGTCTCGAACTTAAACTTTGATTTCTTAAATCAAAATCTAATATTTAAAGATACCTAAGTCAATTTTGAGAGTCCTTTTTAAAGAAAACAGATTCAATCAGGTGGTCAATCACACTTAAATAAAAAAGATTGGTGGCGACTCCTCTAATCCATGTCTAGTGATAGGTCCACAGATCTATATATTATGATAGTTTGGCAACTCCATTAGGGACATCGAGAGTTAGGTCGGTAAATGATTTCTTGTTATCCAAGCCTTGCTTAATAAATTTGAGTTTATTTTTTTTTCTTTTGTTTTATTTTCATTGTTTATATTCTTTTTAGTTATTCACATATATATATCTGTCATTCATTTGTATGTGCATAACATAAGCTCTCCACTCGAGCTCTACCCTTAGAAGGGAATGAAGTACCTATGTCCTCGTGAGATTTCATGCCTTTATATGGACCTGCAAAATACTTTCACTCAAATTGAATCATTTTCACTTGTAGCCTATAATGGGCGAGGATTAGGGTGCCTTACTAGTCTGTAATGGACTATGATGTAAGGAACAATTTGGAAACCTTTTATAGGTAATCTAAACCACATATAATTAACTTCAAGAGCCTAACCATAGATAGAGCATGTCCTTCCACCCTTTATAGCCAACCCAAATCTAAGGTCATGTTGCTATTTTACTTGCTTCATAATGTTTATTCTTTATTTTTTATTGAGGTGACTAACCGATTTTTTTGTCTTCTTTTTATTTTTTTTCTTATTGTGCATATTCATAAACATACATGTTAATTGCATATTATGCTTACTAACCTTTTTTATTGTGTATGCATGCATTCATGCATCACTGTATTCAGTCTCATGCATAATCTGAAGGTTCCACAAAGATAATTTTAAATTTGCACATTGTGAGAAATTAAGGTTCAAGGATAGCCCAGCA